TTTGGGGGGGGGGGGGCGAAGTTTTTTATCAAAAGCAAAAAGCAAATCGACGATTGGGATTTGGTTGGATCCAGATGGGATGGGTGAAGACATCTTGTTTCTCTTTCCCCTTTTGTTATTTCACGGGATGGAAACGACCAGAGTCATGTAACGATGATGGCGGGTTTTCATTTTTGTCTTTTTTTATCCCACATCTCATATGTGTGTGTTTATATAGGCGTTTTTTTTATTTCATTTTTCTAAATTTTTTATCATCATCATCATCATCATCATCATCATCATCATCATCATCAAATACCAAATGAAGTTGGATTGAGGGGGAGGGATATATGGGATGCTCCTTTTTTTTTGGAGTTTTTTGTCGAGTTCAAAATCATGGGGATGAAAGGATGGGTGAATGGCTTGAAAGGGCAAATGAATGAATGGGCTATCAAAAGTTTGGGATGGGAGGGGGGATGGTTCATCTAAAAGTAAAGCGAGCAAAACTACTCAACACGACATTTTGTTCTTTTCCGTGTATATATATATATCTCCTACCCCCATTTTCAGGCGCGTCATACGATAAATAATTTTAAATAATTTGAAAATGGGGGTAGGAATAGGAACAGAGTCGAGCCATCTGTATTTTTTTGGTTTTTAGATCGGGAGAGTGAGTGAGTGAGTGAGTGTGTGATGGTGTTGAGTTGTTCGTTGGGATATCATGGATAAGGGTGCATGCAAGTCGGCAGGTCAATGGGAATGAGAGTCAATTTCATGAAAACTATATATAAGATGAAAAAGCCCTGTGATAGGTATTGGGGAAGCTGCAAGTCAAGAACTCGCAACGCAATTCACCGAAGACCAGGATTCGTTATCACACGTTCTCATAGAGCAGGGACTTACTTGACCTTTCCATACTCTCTAACCGCTCCCTCCCACGAACCTCAATATTCTTTTTTTTCCGGGTCTTGACCTTTTTGCGGCCGGGGGGCTTAACGCTCCGATGATGTATAGTGATAAAGCAACATGATTATTGTCACATGTGAAGAGATGAAAAAAAGCTGAAGCAAGTAAGATAGGCCGAGTTTCTCATGTCAATAAATATCAGACTTTGTTATCAGCATCAATACTAGCACCGAGTCACTCTGACTTTCGATAACTACTCGCTCGATAGGCAAAGTGAACATCTGACAGACTGACCAAAAGAATGTGGAAAGCTTAGATTGGTAAGTTTGAGCAAGTGAGATGTGAATGCCCAACCCTAACCCACCAAAGATATCCAGCGTTCATCAGTGGCTGCGGTGGGTGCATTTAAACTTTTTTTTTTAACTGTCCCAGCATAAGAACTCTTAGATGAATTATTCATATTATTCCATTTTTGAACCCATCGAATTGACCACTGGCATTTATCCCATGCCGCGTTCCAACCCAATCCAATCCATTATGTACCCAGTCATATAATCCCCCTTCCTTCTTTTGTCTAATATAATATCGTACTAGTACAAGAAAAAGATTTTATATACACACCCCCCCCCCTCTATCCCTTTCTCACAATCCCCTTAAAACTTGCCCTTGACAAGATTCCCCAACATCTGCTCAGCAGTAAGATACGTCGTCCTCCACAAGGTGGGGAAGTCCAGCGTGCTGGAGAGACCGTCGGCGAAGCCGAAAAAGAGCATGGGGGGGATCCACCCGCGCGCGTACTCGAGGGCGAAGCAGGACTCGGGCATGCGGTACTGCTTGACGTCGCCGCGGCGGAGGTGGTGGATGGTTCCCGGGGGGTAGACCTCGGGCTCGTACTCGCCGGGGACGTAGGCGGTTTGGGTGCCGGTGAGGATGTGGAAGTAGTCGTCGGCGGTGTGGCGGCCCGTGTGGCCTTCTGTGCCGATGGCGGTGCCGAAGATGATGAGGTATTCGGTGAAACCTGGGGGGTTTAATGTTAGGTTATGCAATATTGGGGAGATGGAAAAGCAAATAGACTTACTGGCATGGATGATGTACATGGCTCCCATGGCGCCGCCGGCGTTGTTGAATACCCACTGCTCATCGGTGTTGACGTAGCGGCTGACGGTCACGTCGGCCTTGAGCTCGTCGACGATGTACTTGACCATGGCCTTGGTGTCGCCGGGGTGGGCGTTGATGGCGGCCTTGGTGACGGCATCGAGCTGGGGGAGGTTGAAGACGTAGAACTTGTCGACGTTTTGGTCGAGGACGTAGAAGATGGGAGCGAGGACGGCGAAGAGGATGGCGAACCACTTGAAGAAGGTGGTGAGACTGCTGCAGCAGCTCTTGTGGCTGCAAGCACAGGCGGTGGCCTTCTTGGCCGGGGAAGAGGATTTTGGTGCCATTGTGATGTTTGGAGATACAAAGGCAAGGAGGAGAGGGATGGAGGGGAAAGAGAGAAAGGAAGAAAAAGAGGAATTGAGCCCACTAATTGTATAGGAAATTCAAAAGCGCGAGCTGTCGCGCACCTCGCACATCACTTCCCCTTTACCGTTGCGCTGGCTCAGAGTGGGCGGTGAGCGGGCTAGACCGGGGTTTAGCTCGAGCTCCTGTGGAGTTATCAGATGAGCTGGACCAACGGATACGCAGAGATAAAGACCCACAGGACCCTTGCGCTGGCAGAATCGGCTTGGCAAGCAGGATTGCATCTTTTTTCGGCCTCCAACTCACGCTGACAGAACCTGTCGAACCATCCGGATATCGCATTCCCGACATATGCCAAGGCTCTCATCACTTGGTAGCTCTCACTTTTTTTTCAAACCAACGGCACTCACATCTGGCATATCGAATTTTCCACACCTCAGGCGGCACTTTCCGATCGAGTTTTTTCAAAGCAGTTGTTTTGAAAACCCCTCCATTGCGACAGAAGCGAGTTGAAGGGCGATAAGGACACTCGCTATCATGACAACATCAAACCCCACCTTGGCCATCCCAGGCCAGCTCTTGGGTTCAACATCCAGATACCAGCCCGGGCCAGGGACTCACATTCACAATCACAACGTTCATGCTTCGCTCATGGGCACAGTACACATCGCTCAACCTGCTAAAGCTCCAGGACCAGTGAAGCGGCTCACAAAAATCACACCAGCCCCGGCCCCTGCGGAGCTCCCCACAATCTCGGTGACGGTCCCCACGCGGTCCGCGGGCTCCGACCACGCCGGCCAAAAGAAGCGCGAGGTGCTGCCCGAGGTAGGGAATGTGGTGCTCTGCAGAGTGATTCGCATCACACCGAGGCAGGCTGTTGTTTCGATACTGGTGTGCGGCGACACGGTGCTGGATGCTGAATGGCAGGGCTTGATCCGTGTGCAGGATGTCAGGGCTACAGAGAAGGACAGGGTCAAGATCTATGAGAGCTTCAGACCGGGGGATATCGTCAGGGCTGAAGTGGTATGTGCTTTTGTGTGGTCATTGAAACATCAAACAGTTTGCTAACATTGTAAACAGATCTCACTGGGTGACCAGGCTAACTATTATCTTTCCACTGCTCGTAATGAGCTGGGTGTTATTTTAGCCACGAGTGAAGCCGGCAATGCGATGCATCCTGTCAGTTGGAAGGAGTACCGGGACCCGGAGACCGGCTTGACCGAGTTGAGAAAGGTTGCGAAGCCATATTGAAGAGGAGGGGGACTCACTCTGTCGAGCAAGGATGAGAAACATCTGGAGATCGTATTGACCATTGTGATCGGATGTTTGAAAAGGCTGGCATTGAAGACGAAATGCGAGGCCAAAGACCGGCCGGCCGTATGAACGAGGCTGGGTAAGCCTCGCTCACCACATCCACGGGCAACCTCAGCCATCTGATCAGACATGTTGGGATCTGAATCAAAAGTCGCCACATACGAGAGAGCACTAGCGGGTTGGTTCAAGCAAAGACCAGCGAGAGCTAAGCATCTGTTTATCTCAGATTAATGTCTACATAATATGTTACACTTTTGATCGTGGAGGACGGCAGCAGACTGCCGAGGGGTTTAAGGGAAACAAAGCGGATGGCGGGCTCACTTTGCATGAGCACACGGACGAAAGCCCATGTCCAAGCAACCCGCGGGACGAGATGTTCCATAGCGAATAGAACGGGATGAAGCGGTACCTGCAGCTACTCAGCGTTAGTGACATAAAATTCCACTCGACGATTTCTCGGATTGGTTGCCGATCTATAATGCGCATGTCCATGACGATGTTGGCCCTGGTGGAGGGGGGAGCGCTGGATCCCTGCAAACCTCGCATGCCAAGCCGAGACGCAGCCACCAACGCTTCCTTCCATTGCCTAGCCGCCCTCTTTTTCATTCCAGCACATGGCAAACAAACATCAAAGACGACGTCGCCTCTCCTGCCACCTACACCCTTACACTTCGACGAAACAAACTTCCGTGATAGTCTCCCAACTTGCGACGACACACCGACGGCCCCCGCGCGGTGATACACAACCATGACCGCCACCGAGGTCATGACACCCACAACCCCAGAAACAACAGGGACAAGGCCACGAACAGCAACAGGGCCAGCAGACATCGACAGCGATGGCACCGACGACACCACACCCAGCACCAGCACCGCCGCGACGACAAGCCGCAGCTGCCCAACCTGCGGCACCCCCCTCTCCCTCCCCTCCCTCCCCGCCTACCAGCAAACCCAAGCCGCCCTCCTCTCCGCCCAGAAGCAAATCACCGAGCTCCAATCCCAGATCAAACTCCTCAACGCAAAGGCCTCAGCAGCGGTCGACCGATGGGCCGACTACGAAGACGAGCTGACAAAGCTCCGCGCTCAGTTGTCATCAGAGTCGAGATCGTCAACTCCTAGCTCCCCGTCGGCGGCTTCTTCCTCATCGCCAACAACATCCTCCTCGTCCCCTTCACCGCAGAAACAACCCCAACAACACCAACAGCAGAAACAAACCTTACTTCAGGAAGGCTCCCCTTTGCCTACCCCTCCTAGTTCGGTAACATCGGCCCTTCCTTCGCCGTCAAGAACATCATTTCTTCCTGCCGCTGCAACGAGGATCTCTGCGCTGTTGTCGTCGAGGAAATCGACGAGTAATTTGAAGCCTTTGCCTTCGATTCCGGTCTCGCCTCGTTCACCTATACCTAGTGTGCCGCCTTCTGCGACGCTTTATAATCTTCCTAGTCTGGCGACTCCTCCAGAGTCGGGGCAAATGACGACGGGGGATTTGCTGACGGCGTTGGGGAGGGAGCAGGCGAGGAGGGTGGAGGTGGAGAAGAGGTTGAATCAGACGAGTAGGGAGGTGGAGGAGCTGAGCGTGAGTTTGTTTGAGCAGGCGAATGAGATGGTTGCGAGCGAGAGGAGGGCGAGGGCAGAGCTGGAGAAGAGGGTTGGGGAGTTGCTGGGACGGGAGGGGGAGAGGAGGAGGCGGTTGGAGGTGCTGGAGAGGGGGGTGGAGAGGATTGGACGGGTTAGGGGGGTGCTGGGGGAGGGGGAGGCGTAGGGGGATGGAAGGATAGTGATGGGAGAGTTGGGCGGTGGTTTTAATACGAAAGACGATGAGATGGGAGACTGAAGTTGGAGGAACTCAACGGTTGACTCATGTCGAAGACAGGATGGAAGATTTTAATGCTGAATGGAAGGGTAACGGGTGTTATTTATCTTTGGGAAAACACATGTTACCAAGGTTAACGGAGGTTTGGGGATGATTGGGATGGTCATCTTGGATAACTTGGCATATTGGGGCAGACATCTGGAGTTTTGGGATAGTCAGTAATATAATTCATTTCTGACCTGGCATATCACTGTTGTCTAGAACTGAACCTTCCTCTCGAATGAGAAATCCCAACTCTTGACGTCGACAAAATGACGTGCATGAAAAGGACCCTTGCCAAGCCTCCAAAAGCAAGACATCCCGGCAACCCCAGACTGAAGCTAAGAAATGCGGCTCTTGATCGACAAGGGTGGTTAGTGGGGGGGCTCCCCACTGCATATCAACGTCTGTTTAAATGTACTAGTTGGACGGGGGCAATTCCATCAGCCCGGGTATTGTATTTTGTCTCATCACTTCCTATATCCACCATCAGATTCTTTTTAACCGCTAACAGCAACCGGCTCCTCCTCCCTCGCCGGCACTGCCTCGGACTCAACCTTGATACCCCCATTTTCAACAGTCGGTTCCTGGATCTCTCCCGGCCGGGCGTTCCACTTGTCAAGCATGCTCTCCACCTGTGGCCCCCAAACCTCCTCCCCTCTAAGCAAATCGTCATACTCGAGACAGTTAGCCCCCCCAAGCGTGAACTGCCCCTGCCTGGTACGGACCAGCTCCGCCATCATGGCCCCGCATCCCAACTTCTCCCCGAGATCATGGCACAAACTCCGGACGTAAAACCCAGACGTGACCGTCATGCGGATCTTGGCTGCCGGCGGGCCCTTGCCTTCCCACGGGGCAGGCATGTCATCTGGTCTGACAGGCACAAGATCTGAGCCCCTTCCCTTGGGGGGTTGGGTCAGCTTCTCCTTTTTGACTTCAAGAGCCCCCGACATGAGGGTGTCTTCTGGGTTTCCCTCCTCGTTCTTTGCCCTCTTGGAGGCTCGCGTCTCGTCGCTGACAAGGCCGTCGACTGCTTCCTCGGCGGCGCGCTTTTTGGAGTTGAACTCCTCGAGGGCTTTGCTCTCTTCCTCTGCGGCCATCTTGGCGGCTGATTCCTCCCCTCCGTCCTCCTGCGCCTTGGCCACGCGCCAGACGGACTGGGCGACGTCCTTTTCTGCCTGGCCGGCTTCCTCGTCGGGCCAGTAGTGCTTGTGCGTGCCGGGTTCGTACCATTCTACCAGCTCGAGTTCGGACACTTCGACTTCTCGAGTTTCAATCTCACGGGGGATCGGCTTGCCTTCGCGGGCGTATTCGTAGAGGGGTTTGCCGTTCATTTTGAGGGAGGAGTACAAGGGCGGCATTTGTCTGTATTTCCCCCGGAACGGTTCCAGCGCTTTCTCGACGGCATCGCGGGTGACGTTGGAATAGTCGCCCTTCTTGATGATCTTGCCCAGCCGGTCGTAGGTATCGGTGCTGGCGCCGAAGACGACAACTGTTTCGTAGGTCTTGGTGCAGAGGAGGAATTGCTGAAGGGACTTGGTGCCTTTTCCGACTCCGAGGATCAGGACACCGCCGGCTAGAGGGTCGAGGGTGCCGCCGTGGCCGATTTTGGTCTGGACCTTGTTGGGGAACCGGCGGCGGCGGTTGCGCTGGTACTTGGACTCTTTGTCGCGCTGCTCGCGGACCTGCTCGAGGGCGGGGGCGAAGCGAGCGGAGGGGTCGAAAAAGTTTTGGCAGTCGCGGATTACCTGGGCGGAGGAGATGCCGATGGGTTTGTTGATTCCGAAGACGCCTTCGAGGATCTTGCCTCCTGTGGATGTGGCCATTTTCAGGAGTGGCTTGGGCCGGAAAAGGGGCATGCGAGGGGTTGGTGAGAGAGTTGCGACTCTGCCGGGGCTCAATTGGGGTTGCGCAGCTGGTTTTGGGACAAGCGCATTCGGTTTGGGTGGAATTGGCGGCGTCGCGGTCGAGCTTAAAGTTTTTGATGGAGCTGAGGAACCAGGGGAAGAGTAGTTATCGTTATCAGATGAGACGGGACAGATAAGTGGGGTAGTGGGGCACCTTCCACTTAACGCGTGTGGCTTGACAACCAACCGCGTCAAGGATACCGCCCGCTACCTGCCTTCCAGACAGCCTTCCTTTCGCGTCTCGACCTCAGTATTCAGCTTCATTTTTATCCTCACATGCACGACCCCTCCAAATTCTGACACCAGTTGGCGATTCTTTTCCAAGCAAGCTCTCGATGCCACGCCCAGGACGGCCAGGGCGTTCAAGGCGCTCTGAATCCGTCGATCACGACTCTGTTCATTATGTCAAGGAGAGCGCAGCCCTGACGTCGGTCGAACTCGGCCCCGACGAGGGCGAATGGCCCTGTTTTGTCCTCTCGGACGCTATTATTTATCGGAAAGATGGCAAAACACTCGCCAACCCCCTCATGGTTCATTCAGAAGGACCTTTGGTGATTCGCGGATTGCTTGAAATCGACGAAGAAACCAAGAAATGTGTGCTCACTTCATTCCTTCAGAGACTCTTATGGCTGACCATCAACGTCAGGTGTCAAAATTCCCGTGGTCAAGGGTGTACATCTCGAAATCACAGACTCAACCAAGTACTCCATTAGTGATGAGCCGTTCGCCCTCTGGGTGTCCGGTACTTCTGGTTGGTTCGAAATCCAACCATCCAGGAAGTACCTTCCTATGTATCGGGAAGTGGCCGAGGCAGCAAACCTTTACTATCGTGTCTTTGTTGCCCACGACGATCACCATAAGTTGGTCAAGCTCTGCAAGAAAAGCGGAAGAAAGCAGCCGCCCCCGTTGTCTCTCGACCAGATCTTTCTGCATTATGCTGTCAAGATTGGAAGCGGCATTGTGAGGGACGAAGTGGAGGCTCTGTGCGACAAGTGGGCCGAGTTCTTCATCTCGCACTTTAAGAAAGAGAACCAGCTCGACTGGAAGCCGACACAATTTGCGCAGTGGCTCATTTCGAAGCACCCGGCAAGTATAGCGTTCTATGTCTGAGGTTTAAACGCTAACGCGAACCAGGAGCTTGAAAAACGGGTTGAGGACGCAGCTAAGGGGCTGCCCATTCCGGTGCCTCCCCCTCCTCAGCTGGAGGACTCCGAAGACGAGGTCCTTCGGATGAGAAGGAAGAGCAAAGCGGTTAGCCAAGGTCAAGATGTTGACATGGTCGAAGTTGCCCCTACCCGCTCGCAGAAATTGCCGAGCAGACCCATTTCGCAGTCTCAGTCAAGGCCAGTAGAAAGTCCGGTACCACTGCCGGAAAAGTACTTGAACATCGGAAAGCCGACGTCAGCCACGCCCCAGCCACTGCCGCAGGCCCCGGCACAGTCGGCCTCTCCTGCTGCCCAGGCAGTTCCCGATTCTCCGGTTGATCGGCTTCTGGGAATCCTTGATGAGGTGGTTCAAGATAGCCCAGATTTACACGCTAGGGCACCATCAACGATTTTCAACATGGTCTATTTCAAAGCTAAAATCAAGGACTATCATGGATCTCGTGAGATTCTCTCTTATTACGCCAAAGACTTGTTCCCACGGCTGGACCCGAACATCTGGGCCGGGACCCCCTTCCATACGTGGCTCGAGGCAACGTCGCGAAACTGGGACGGGCAGCTTTTGCACGTCAGGGAGGAGGAAATCCCCTCACAGATGTATCGCAGAGGCAAAATAGGACCCAGAGCCCCGAGGGCACCACAGCAGCCCTCCGCCCAAACTACTTCGAATCGTAACGTCGTCTCTGGGAAGCGGTCGACGCTGAGGCCAGGGCCATCGTCGAAGAAGCGGCCAGCTAGCGATTTGTACGAAGACGAGGATGAATACGACAGCCGGGGTGGGAAGCGCAGTTTCACTCAGTCTTTCGAAGGGGACAATTTGGATCACGATGACGGCGATGAAGACAGCGACGATTCTGTCGAAACGGAGGTAAATCCAGAGCTGGCAACCCCCGACGACCCTGCATCCCTCCTGCCTCTGCCAGCAGGTGCTTCTCGCATTGTGATCCAAGCCGAACGTCTCCCAACTTTGTCACCATCAGGGCCAAACGGCTCGTGGGTCTGTCCAAACGAGGAATGCGGCTATGTAGTCCGCTCGGCCGACGAGCCCGGCGCACAAGAGATCATCGAGGAGCATTTCCGGGCTCATGAGTACAACACGCAGAAAATTGACCTGGCACTGACGGAGGGGAGGAGGGGCCATTTGCCTATTGAGTACGTAGCTTCTCCTTTGGCTTCTATGCGTGCTTCGTGTATTGTTATGTGAGGGATGGTTTTGCTGATGTGGTTTGTATCTTAGTAATCTGCTAGCAAAGATTCGAGAGAAGGGGAAAGAGTCGTTGAAGAAGAAGAGGGGGGTGTTGGGTGGTAAGGACAACAAGCCGGACGAGAAGGCCCAGGTGTTTAGGGATAGGGTGAAGACTAGGTTGCTGGTTTGAGTTGGTTTGGATTCTTGGGTTTTTTTTTGGTGTTTTTTTGGTGTTTTTTTGGTGTTTTTTTTGGTTGTTTTATGGGATGAATTGGGTGGGATATGGTCTTATGATATTCTGGGAGACATTGTGCAGAGGATTTGAGCTCATTAGAGGATACGGGACATTTGGGCTTGAGTGGTTGGGGGTTAATTTCTTCAGGTTGGCAAATCACCACAATGGCGTTGACGGGGCAGAGCGAATGGACGTGGCAGAATGCTTTGGGGGTTGTGAGGTTGGTTTCTGTATCGTTATTGCTCTTTTGACACTGTCGGGATTGGTTGGGGGTTACTGGGTGTGTTAAATCGAGTTTGTTTGTTCTTTGGAATTGGTGCAGAAGCCATTGAGCAGCTGCCTGCATTGGCCTACCCTTTGCATCCAGTTCTTGTGACCCAGCCCGTGAAAGCACAGTTGTTGACCCTGGCTGAGGAGGGTTTTGCCATGCTTCGAGGTTGTGGTTTGCCCAGTGTAACATTTCCTTGGTGTCCAGACCTCCATAGTATATTCACTCACCTGACCTCTCGGCACGATTCATCACACAGCACCATTTACACAGAACCTTCCAATTTGAGCGGTGTGACAAGAGTCGCCAAATCTTGTCACTCGACCTTGTGCAACCTTCTGCCGGTTCCGTGAACCCGGAGTTGGGACGGGGAGTCCGGCTACAGCACCCTTTCAACAAGCTCACATGCCCCCTCTTTCACTTGTTCCCCTGTTGATCCGTGGGCGGTGAGGCTTCTCTTTTGATATTAGATGACCCGGCTCAACAAGGCAAATACGCGCGTGGACCGGACAGGCACACTAGGAGAGTGGGGGTTGACGTTGACAAAAACCTGGACGACGACCGTTCTGGAAGATCCGGTGATGATTGGGTCAATAATAAACTCCCACCGTACCTAACCGGGGTGGCTGTTATGTATCCCCGGCATCCGTCCAAGCTTCTCCTCTCCGCACCCTCTGTTCATCACCAGCCAGTCAGTCGGTCGGTCGGTCGGTCGGTCGGGCGTTGCTTGGTATTATCCGAAGTGAGTCTTGCCCCGGCGAAATGACCCTCTTCACTCCGTAGGGGTCCCTGGACAGGAAGAGGTAATGAAAACAATGGGGTTGGGGGCGTTTTCTGACAGTTGACAGCTGCGGGTCCGTCCGGGGTTTGGGCTGTGTTCTGAGATAGTCCGGTCTGGGGTATAACCGTCCACCGGCCGGCCTCGTCGCCGATGAGGATTTGGCTGGCTGTCAGCCCTGGACTGGAACCCCTCCCCTGTTTAGTGTCTGACCCGGGAAATGGGGAGCGTGTGGGATGGGAAACCGGGGAAGGCGGGCCTAGGCTAGACTGCAATCCAGGTGCGGCAAGTTTCCCCGCGGGCCCTTGTCTTTGAGCTGGGGAAGAGGGGGGGGGAAGAGGCAAGGAGTCTATGCACACTGTTTGCTGACTTTATTGACTCTGTTGATCACGAAGGGGGAGGAAGGAAGTTGATCTGGACTAGGCAGCAGTTGGTGATGATGGGTTGGGTTGGTCAGAAGGCGGTTCTTGATTCAATACCGGTAGGGCTGGCTGGGGCTGGCTGGACGCCTGCTGGATTCGGGATCAGCAGAAAACCCCATAATGTCATTACGGCGTTATTGTGGGCGGGAAGAAACTATTGCGGTCAAATATTGATCACCAGTTTTCGCCGGTAGAGATGTCAGCAGGAATACGAGAGGACAATACATAGTTGGGCAGCAATAAGTTTCACATTTGCTCGAGACAACGAGTTTAGTTTGGTATCGTTGGTTTATGCTGTAGTAAGCAACTATCTGGTTTTTTGACTACCGCTCTTCTCAAGGCAAGGGGGGTGTCAAACTTGTTCAAGCTTCCCATCCACCCATCATTGTACACCACCAACACCATCACACCTCCTTCCAGCTCATTTTGCAACCAAGACTCCCACTAGCATAGGGTCGGTTATCCTCCTCAATGGCCAATGCAAAAATAAGGCCAATGCAAAAACAATGCAACTATATATAATGCAAAAGCCAACAAAACAAAACCACAAATTGTTACATCTCTACCCTGCCGCCCCTTATCCCATCCCATCATCCCCATCCCTTTCCCTTTGCAACCCTTCCTTCCCAATGCAAAAACAAGCCGCTTTGATTTCAAATGACGCCTCCCCCCCCCCTTGGTTACCTAGTCAAGTTCCCTGCCTGGCATACCGTTCGTGTGTTCCCCCCTTATTCCTCCCATTGTTGTGTACCGTGATCCCGCCACCCCATCTCGGGGGGATTATATATGTGAAAACAAAAAAAAAAGCAAATAGACAAACAAAACAAGGCGAAACATTGCAGACATACGTAAAAATCAAAAGTAAAACAACATGTACCACCGACGCTGCAAGCCCCATCAAAAACACAACAGGATTCTTTCCCTTCTTGGTTTGCCAAACCGCCCACCCGAGCAACGCTTTTTTGAGAACAAAATGCAAGTCCTAATAGGACGTTAAGTTTTTGAAAGACAATGACCAACCCTGTAGAGTGAAGAGGAAAAAAAAAAGAAAAAAGACAAATACAAGGGGAGATATAATGTAACAAAGTTGCCCGGTGAGCAAATAAAGAAAGTGAAAACTGAAAAAGGCGAAAAGTGTGTTCAGACAGCCCTGCCCAGAGAGGAAACATGAAAACACTTAGTATGGCATCCTGTCATTAAAAGCAAGATCCCTCCCGTGGTCATCCCCATACATGTGCGGGTTTGGCGTAACAGGTCCGCTACTGGAAACGCTGCTCTCGTCGGTGTCGTACATGCCGTATCCGCTGTGTGGTCTTCGCCCGCCCGTGTTGACCATCAGGCTTGCCGGTCGGCTGCTCATGTTGTATGCCGCGGGGCTGCTGACGCCGTGGTACGGGAGGCCGTCGTGTCTTGGCTGGGGCATGCAGAGCTGGAGTTGCGGGAGACCAGTGTGGTGGAGATGCATCGGTGACTGATGGGGGTGGTGATGATGGGTCGAGTTCGTCGGGCTGACGGGTGTGCTGAGGTGGCCTTGGTGATGCTGGGGAACGACGACGGCAACATTCCGCCTTTTTCCTCGGCCCTTGATTCCCTTGTTGCTGTTCTTGTAGAGGTTGGATAGGTACTCGAACAGCTCCTTGTCCTCGTAGGAGGCGGTGCTCCAGTCGGTGATGGTAGCGAAACGGGTTGTTAGTCTTTTGATGGTGTCCTCGTGGAACTTGTTTTGGTGAGACTACAGAGCGTTAGCTTGTACGACCAGATCCTTGAGGTCGATGCAAGGAGCCTACCTTGAGATTTCCCCGAACAGAGAAGGCTTTGTTGCAGTTATCGAGCAGGCAGATGAAGGGCCTCGTCTTGTCGTGGCTCTTCATATGAGCCTGGAGGTTTCCGCGCTGGGGGAAGCGCTTATCACACAGAGTGCAAGAGAAAGGCTTCTCTCCCATGTGCCGGCGCCAGTGGGCCTTGAGGTTTCCTGGCTGAGTGAAGTCTTTGCCACACAGGGTGCATTGCTATTTACAAGTTAGAACGGCCATTCACACAACACAGGAAAACCAGACAGAACTTACATAAGGTGACTCTCCCGTATGGGCTCGCCGATGAGTGTCGAGGTGTGTTTTCTGGCTAAACATCTTGGAGCACCCAGCGATACCGCAGGCGTAACGCTTGAGTGGACCACCGCTCCCAGCAACGCTTCTTCTCGTTCGTGTGGACGCCTGGCTTTGCGAAGAGGATGGTAGCTATTCATCGCAGACAGGTTAGATTAGGACCATGCCTGACCAGCAATTACGGTCAACTTACCCCTCTGCCTTGAGCCTCTGTCCCTGAGGTTTCGGTCTTGCACTCAGCTGGCTTCTCGGCCTTGGCCTGGACCGCCTTCATCAGAGTATCCAATGGGGTATGGAACTCGTGGGGTTGCTGGCCAGCCACGGTCAAGTTCGCCTCGATCGTCTTGCAGGGCATCGTGACCTCGGCAGTGATGGAGAGTTGACGTTCGGCTTTGACTGATGGACTCTGGTTTTCCTGCACTGGTGAATGGCCGGCATGGGGCGTCACTGACCCTCGGGCAAGACCGGACTCGACTGGCATGACCCTCGTCTGCTGTTCCGGGTAAGTGTTGGCTCTGAAAGGTGAACCCAGGACTGGAGATGGTGTGTATGAGTGATATCCGCTGTAGGTGACGGGTGGTTGGTATTGAGGCGCTGGCACGCCGTTAGTGATGGGGGCGAGACTGAAGGGGGTGCTGCTAAAGTACTGGGAGGCCAAAGGGGGTCGTTGAGGGGGAGCGGCCGTTGCCTGACGAGACTCGTACGGCATCACGTTGTGCTCCATCATGGCGTAGTCTCCGCTTGTGGGATGATGCTGAGGCCACCGAGACCAGTTGGCAGGAGCCGGGAGGTGTTCCGAGAGAGCCATCTTTTGCCCAGTTGATATTATGATCTTTCTTCGTCCTTGGCGTTATGTGAACTGACTGTCAATGTGGTGCGAGATTTCCGTCAGCCGGAAATACAACGGTGGTGTATGAGCGAGAGTGTGTGTGGGAGGGATGATGGCTCTGCAAAGCAAATGTCCGCCGTGATGATTAATAAAGAAAGGACTCTTGTTGTCGTTGGGCACAAGGTCCGTTGACAAGCAAGTGATGATGAGTATACACAGATGGAGAGATAATATGTATGGATGTATGTATGTATGTCCAAGCAGACTGGATGATGATCGGGCGTGGGGAGAGGGGGGAGACATATATCAACACCAGGACCCAAGGAGGAGGAGAGTAAGTAGCTGGGGTACGATCTGACTGAGCCAATCGACTGGGCTGCCATGGCCGTTCGGAGATCTTGTTCAAATAGAGGCTTGTACCATGCTCAATAAACGATACTGCACTTGGCAGGCTGGGTGGGTGTTTGGGCACGGGGCAGCTCCGCAGCAATAAAGAAAAAAAAGAAGAAAAAGGTACAAGGCCAAAAGTACCTCCTCCCACCCCCCCCCCCCAAGAAACAGACCATCCCTCGACCCCCACCACACGAACCTGAGGTGGATCGTGATCCAGATGAAGCATGGATACATGGGGAGAGAACCAGCCGGGGGATTTCGTTACCGAGGATTGGGGAGTTCTTTGGAACAGGGGACAAGGGGGGGGGAGTGGATGTCTCCTTGGGGTTGATAGCTGGGCGCAAGGCGACCTCCTTGCTCGCCCGCCTTCGTTCCCACCACACCCATCATCCAAGTGGCAGAATGTGGAGACGACAAGACCGATGAGACATGAAAGACGGCCAGACACCAGCAGAAGAGTCCAGCGTCTGGCTCAAGTCAGTAAGTCCGGAACACAGGCTGCTGAGCCCGGCTGCACTCTAGATGCAATGTGAGCCATCCTTCCACTGTGACCATCACCGGCCAACAACTCGTGCAGCAGGTACCGCAGGTTTTGGCGTCTTTGGTTATGTGCTGACCGCAGCGGGACGGCAGTTGTAGGAGGGGGATGAGAGGGGAATGAGAGTGATGCCCGCTATGGAGTCCAGCCTCGTATAAGAAAAGTATGGAATCCACCGCGCCTGATGAGGCGGCGGGCGGAAAGGCGGAAGGGACGGACGGGGCGGCTTCAACAGTAGGCCGGCGAGCGGATGAGGCATTGTCTTCGTCTGCCGTGCTCTCCATCGTCATTAGCGAGAGAGGCTCCGGGAGAGATGACGACTCGTTCGTTGCTCAATGATGCACATCTCGTGGACCAAGTGGTTTGAGTAAGTCCCTTTCTTTTTCGGATCTTCGCGGTACCCCGCGGGCGGGTTAAAGGTCTGACATGGAGGAGGTGATGGGCTTGGGCGTCCCGAGACAGCGCGTCATTGTCTCCGTGTCTTCTTCCCTTTCAAGAAGAAGTGAGGTTGATTTCGCAACTCTTTTTTTTGATGGGGCCGACGGCGAGGTGTGGCAGCTGGCGATGCACACGAACAAGGGTCTCTAGTGGATGCACTATACTGCTCGTGGTATAGCCAAGGACCCAGAGAATGGAGCACTGCATGCAGCACCCACCACTCCCAAGAACCGGGAGTGAGGCATCAAGCCCGGATGCTTGGCATGTCACGGTGCAATTATCTTAGCCCAGCTCTTAACATTTCATCAAGCTCAGCGCGGCAATTCCCAACATCAACCCCCACCTGTCCACTGTCCGCTGTCAGTGTTCCCAGAACATCACCAAGTCTCGGGGCGGGACGGCACTCACAGGTCTTGTCCCAGGTCTTGTCCCACCCTTCAATTACCGCATATTCCCGGGGGCGATGTTTTCTTTTCAAAACACATCTGGTGATGATAGGTAGTGTACAGGTAGCTCGGCAGTCGCGTTTCCAATACCACGGTTGGGGTGGGTGTGTGCACTTGTGGCGCCAGTTGGACATCTGCGGCGTCGGGTCTCTTGAATTCCAGGGACCAGCTCAGCTTTCCGCCTCGCGTTAGTGTTGGAGAGGCAATTACAGTGGGTGGACTAACAGCAGAGCGCACACCAGCTAAGCTCAGGGCAGCTGGGACCGTGCGCACAGCTCGGGACGACCTCAGCTGGTGTCAACCGCTATTTTTCGCCTCCACTTTTGTGCAAAGTTTCAAGGTTTCAATACAGGACCGAAATAGCTCAGCATAATGCCCTCATCAGTTCAAAACGTCATGCGATTTCAGGGCGGCCCGTTTCTCGCCTGGCGGCCGATCATCTTCTTCTTGCCAACGTTCCATCGTTTCTTTCCCCGCCTTCACACCTGGGGCTTACCTGGGGCTTACCGTCAGTGCCCATCTTACCGTTCTTTTATTGTGGGTGAGACCGAGACATCGCCATTAACCGCCAGCAACCGAACTGACAAGCAAATGGAATCTGGATCCTCAGACTCGAAAGCAGGTCAAGGTCCGGTCCGGATTCTGTCACAAAACCCATTCGCAAATATCACCCACTTCGTCTGAGATGCAAGATGTCAGGTCTTGTCCGTGAGAATCGACTGAAAGTTCCCAATGCAAGGGGTAACGAGGGCGAGGCAAGGACAAGCCGCAGAGCACCTCGATGCCGTCCCGTGACTGGCCCAGCATGTCTCCAACCAGACGATGCTTGGCCTCCACTCTCCAGCCCGGAACGTCATCCGGGGCCATCAACACCGTGCGCCGACTGTATGTAACAACAGACAGCCGGATCCGTTTTGTCGAAAATTGCTGCCCGTCGCCTGACAACCTGCTGCTTCATCCACCACGACTGGTCGCCGGCCTCTGGAGACTGCAAGCGGTTCCGCGGTCCAGGTCCAGCAAAGGCGCATCCCGCTAAAACAGTGCGCTAACACGCAAACTAGACGCCCCGGATGCCAATCCGCCTCCACAAGTCTTTGCTCGGGATGCGACCCGTCATTTTCTATACTAGAGGCGCAAGAGGGCACCCGGTGCGGAGTGATGTGGGATGTGCGTCACAGGAACCTGCAGCAGCAGCCGGGCCAGATTCAGCAGGTGCCTCTCGCATCTTGATCAGCCTCTGGCGAATGCATCTCTCCTCGACCACTGCGAGCAATCCCTCGCCATCACCATTTGTCGACACTACACAGCACCAGAGACCCCACGAGCTGTTACACGTCGAGCACGTGTGCCTGTATGGAGAGCCATGGCAGGCACAATGACACGCACGCAGGGAATCCCGGATGAGTTGATATGTCTACACTAGCGCCGCCCCAGATGCCAATCCTGTCTCCGCAGACATGGTCGTTTCAGCCAAATGACCCGTTGATTCGGTTCACGAGTGGATTTGCCAGGGCTTCCGGTACGCTTAACACTTCCCCGGAGGCACTAGTCAGGGCCAAGGACCTGGTAAGCGAAGGGGGGGGGGAGCAAGATGCGCGAGTGCCTTTTGAAATTCGAGTCCAGTGGGATAAAGGAGATTGTTGATCGGTCTGAGCCGAGTGTGGGCTTTTCTTGAAATCGCTGACTTCATAGCTGCTGTTTCCAAGTTGCCAACACTCGAGACGCGGGCAGAATGACTGAGCCTGGAAATATGAGGAAAGTCGGTCCATCGCGATGGTGTGTGTGATTACACCCATAGTTGAATCCTACCTCTCGACTACTATTGCCTTTGGCTGAAAAGACGGATACTGTGCACACCATCTGCTCTCCACATCACGAACAGTCGGATGTCTGGTTCAGGGCTAGCCTGTATATCCAATCCTTGCAGGGGCTGATTCCAGCGTTGTGGTTTGCGGGACGTCCCTACGTGGGTGCACCCTCACCATCCCCCCTCATTTTTAAATTCGCCAGGACCTCAATGCACGCCGCGAAGCACACTTTTAGGATCTTGCCATGCCGGCTTTGTCTGCTGTACAGTAGTGCGGAGAATCGCGGAGGTGTGCGGTCCTTGATATAGGGATCGAGATGTCGTCCGTACCGTATCTCAAACGCACGAGTTCAAACGATGTCACCCACTAATCAAACCTATCAAGTTTCTACCTTCACCACGGCCAGAGACTGGTAGATACTGTTTGTTGGTCTGCGAGATGGGAACAGGTGAGGCTGACCAGCCACCAAAGAACCTCATCACCACTCTAGTCACGGGACCGACGCCTCCCAACATCGTCTTCACCACACCATGCCGCTTCGAATACCGACCCAAAGAGGATGACCTTTTCAAACACCGAACTGTCAGCAGCACGACAAACCCACGTGTTGGCATGCTGCCCCAACGTTGGCCAGGACATAAAACAGCTCACTCCCCTCGCAAGCAATGCTTGAAATGCGTGGTCACTGCAATTTTGGGCCCCCATACGACCTTGGGCATCATCAGACGCGGAAATAAAACTTGAAAAATGATAGTGGGGTCGACAGCCAACCTGATACGTATCGCCAGACCCAGGAAAAGGGATGAGGGGCAGAGATACCTCCCAGATTGCTCGTCATCGACCTTTTACTGATGACTAACAGCTGCAGCGTGGGGGTTGCAACCTCTTTCTGTTCTGGGAACCGTTCACAAGAGCATTACACGACACCCGATGAACAGTGAAGACAGTGAGGTGGTGTAGCACACAGTGTATACCCGCTGCGTCTTCGCCGCGCCGAGATGGTATTCCAATCGGGAGGTCGCCGAGACAGCCATCTCTTGTCCCGAGTCCGAAGCCATACGAAAACATTTCGCCCGAGTGCTGGCCCAAACGTACACCGGCTCGGGAGAAAAAACCAGTAAATAGGCGCCCGCTCCGTGCTATTGACCTGCGAAGCAGTTACAATGTCCGACATGAACGCTGAGGGGTCTACTAGAGGGGACCTGGAGGACGCCGTCTATCAAGGTGCTTTCACACTACCAGTGGCGCCAAAGTTGACCATGAAATGGCGTCTGTCAAGCTTCGCAAGCAATTGCTTCAGTTCCCCCCTCTTGTCTGGGATCCCCTCGCCTGGTGAAGCTGAGGCAGTCCCGACAG